AGCTTTCCTTGATGCGTTAGACTTGGAAGGGTGCCATGTGAGCCCTAATGTTGCCAGATATGAAAGACCGCCTTGTTTTAAAAATGGACCAAATAATTTAGGATACAGGAAATAAAGTAAATCAGTTTGAATACATGCACATCTCTTTTCCCCTATTCCTGCATGGTTTATTATGTCTCTTCCCTATTTGTCTGGAGAAGCTGAGTGCACTTACGGTAAATATCAGTGCTCACCTAGCAGCTAAATATAGTGATAAAAAACCTCCTGTGATAAAAACTGAATGAATGACAAGAATGGTGTGGTTTCATGAACCAAGAAATCCACAGAAGTATCATAATTTAAAGTTGGGTTTACAACATTCTATAATTTAAAATGGAGCAAAATACTTCTCTTTTAAAATCACAGTTCTTCACGCTATGCTGTAAAAAAGATTCAAGAATGTATATTTCAAAATGTTTAGTGTTTGTTTTTTTTTTTTTAAATACAAAAATATAATCCAAAGCAAATGCAATAGATCTCTGCATACTTGAAACATATTTTCTGAATTTATTCTAAGTCTCTCACTGCACCAGAGGGTTGTGTGTATGGATTAGGACTAGACCATTATTTCACCATCCATCTCCATCCTGAATTGATTGCAGCGAACACTGAAGAATGAATTGCAGATGTCTCCTTTTTCCTCCAGTTTGGAGGACCTCTGGTTTCAGCCCCATTTGATCTGAACTGGACTAAGCAGTGCAAGTCTGTCACTGTTTATAGAGATTCAGTGGAAGTTACTTTTTCTGTACACACAGCCTACACTCTGAAATGTGTGATACTGTGGGATACTGCCTTTATGAAACTTTCTGGCGTGTCTCTGCTAATTAGAATTATTGTTTGAAATGTAAGTCCAACAGAAAGAAATGCTAATAAAAAAAATTATCTTGAAAAAAATAGTAATAAAAAACTTTATCTTTGCAATTGGTGAGTTTGTGTTGACATGAAAGCATAAACATGTTTTTTATTTCAAGAAATTAAGCTATTTTAATACACAGTTTTCCTTAAAATTCTTCCAAATTTCATGCAAAGTTCAATATTTGTATTATAAAACCAGAGTGAATGTTCATGAAATCTTACACAGGAAGGATTGCATATGTAAAAAATACAGTTTTTCCTCTAGAATGATTCTTTCTTCCCCTCTCAAACCTTCATCACTTTCTGAATGTAGAGATAGCAGAATATCCACGGAGAGACTGTATGAAAAATGTCTATACATAAAAGCCCTCATGGAGTAACATAGTTTAGGGGAAACTTGGCTCGTGAATACAACTTAAATACCATTTTGCCTTTAGCCTTTGTATTTTCAGGCTATTTTTCAACAACTAGAGTAGAAAAGTGTTATGTGTTTGTTTGGTTTTAAATTAAGTATGTAATGATTTGTAGAAGCTGGTGTTCTAGGCTAAATAATGCTTTTATCAGTGTTGGCTCTGCTTTCTGCTCCATCACTATTTCATCCCTTGAGAGATCTTCCTCTTAAAAGCAGAGCTGCTGAGGTTCCCTGGGGCTGTGGGAGGTGGGACAGTGGTGGGTGCAGAGCAGCTGTAGGCAGGTTCTCCCAGCCCTGCAGCTCCCTCTGAGGTTAGGGAATCAGCTGTAGAGGTAAGGAACATATAAGTAGGAGCAGTGAGAGCAGAATGGCTCATGCAGGAGTTTTGATATTACAGAGGTGGGAGGGTGGGATGTAAATGCTGCAATAGGGTAGGCTCTTTTCCTGGGTGGTGTGTTGGTGGTGTTGTTTTCCAAGCACGTGGAAGAGCTTTGTATTTTGCATAGTATTTCTTCAAAAGGCCCTTTTTCCACCCCCCCTCCCCAAGGAGTCTCTGCTCTGACAAGATAATCTTGTCCCCTTCTTAGAAGTGTTTCGAGGTGTGCTTGAAAAGAGCCTTATATCTCCTTACAGAAAGCAGGGCTAGGAAACTTACAGACAACCAGAGATAAATCTGTCTGTCTGCGACCATGCAGTAGCAGAGAGGGGTTTAGGGCTTTGGAAGGGGGAGAAGGAGGTTAAGCAAAGGTAAGTGGCCTGTAGAGGGTTTTCTCCTTTACCCCTTAGAGGTCCAAAGAAAGGTAATTAGGAGAATCAAACCTAATATAATTAAATTTAGCTGAGAACTACAGGGGTCTGTACATTCTGTGAGTTACTGCAGTGATCTGCAAACCAGGTGGGAGACAATGTTTGAGGCAGTAAGAACCGATTGGATTGCTGTAGAATGGCAATCTGAAATTGGAGGGGAAAACCAACACACCATTTCCCACTACCGTGTTCAATTTAAGTAGCAAAACATTGCCAGCTTTTCGGGAAAGCCTCCTCCCTTCAATCTGAGCACGTATCTGAGCAAATCTGAACTTTGAAATGTGGTAAAGGAGGGGAGCGGGAGCCGTGTGGCTGGTTACACGCTCGGGATCACTTTTAGTTATCAACAGCTGAATTGGAGGATACAGGCGGTGCCTGCTCACAGCAGACTGTTAGAGGAGTTCGATTTCTCTCACTCCTTCTTCCACCCACCTCCATCTCCTCTGTGCCTGTGTCTGCGCTCCCACATGCTTCAAATCTGTGTACCTGGACTGCCTTCCTTAACAGTTCAGTGTGAGTGTTAGCAGAATGAAAACCAGATGGACCAGCAGTTCCCACTGTTATCTCCCCACCAGCTCTGGCAAGCCTCCCTTTCTCTCTCCTTTCTTGGCATGGTAGAAATATTTGCCTTTATTTAGGAGGGCTCGGGCTCACTGCTGTGCCTCTTTCC